GGCCCCTTGCAGAGACGCGACGCGGCGGACTTTTGCGCCCCGCAGCCGCCGCATCCCTCCACGCCGAGGGCGCTGGGGGCGCGCCTGAGAGGGCAAAGCCACGCCAACTCGACGCGGACACTTTGCCCCGCACCCCCTTTTCCCTCTCATTATTATTCATTATTATTTTATTTTCCTTTTGCGTCTCGCACTCCCCACGCTCTTCTGTGCGTTTGCTCCACTCGTCCACGCCCGCGAGGCGTGCGAGGGCCCCGTCGCACCGCCCCACCGGGAGATGTGGGAGACGCCGCAGCGGAACAGCGAAGAGTGGCGGTGAGAAGCGCCGCGAAAGGCAACGCCATGGCGCCCTCCCCTCCCCAGCGGGAGCAGTCGGCCCCCTGCGCCCCTGCAAGGCACCTCCATGCACCGGCGGCTCAGCGCCCGAGGGGCCTCCCCGCACAGGCTTGGGGACTACACACGAGCCGGGCACCCCACGCCCGCCCCCTCGCGCGCCCGCAGCGGAAGGAGTGGCACGCAACAAGGCGACACAACCTCAAAAAGGCAGACGGAAAGTAAAACAATATATACGCACACACACAAAACAATATACACACACACATATTTATATATTATATATAACAAAACAACGGGAATGAGGCAGACAGCTGCCGCCACGAAGAGTAAACGCAAAAACAAATGGGAGACCCGAGAGAAGCACAGCGAGGGGCACAAAGCGCTGTTCGAACTCAGAGACGCAAACGCAACACGCCGTGAGCGCACAGTAAGGCCCTCTCTTCGTTCCGTTGCTGCCGCCCCCGCCCCCGCCCCCCGCTGCCCCCTTGCCTCTCCACGCACTTCCCCCCGACACACACACACACATACGCACGACGACAACACAACAGCAGCGGCCGCCACCGCGACAGGTGCTTACCTGCCTGGCGGCGCGCCCACAGCGCCGACGCCGCCGTGCTTGCCTCCATCCTCGCAGCAAATGACAGCGTGCGTCGCGGCCCTCGCACCCATGCGGGCAGTGCCATCGAGGGAATCTCCCACGGTCAGTGCCCTCTCTCCCCGAAGCTCCTCCACCTGATCCACAAGGAAGGAGCCATTCCGGATCATCGCACCCCCATTCCCCTGCTCCTCTTCAAGGCGGCGACGCCGCTCCTCCAGCACCTCACGATTCAGCTTCACGTACTCCCAGTGCACGTAGGCGTTGGAGAAGAAGGCCGTCACGTTGAATCCGAGCATCACAAACAGT